AGAAGACTTGACAAGTAACATGGTTGTAATGCTTACTGTCCTGAGGTAGTGTTTGAACAAGGTACGAGAAGACTTGACAGGTAACATGGTTGTAATGCTTACTGTCCTGAGGTAGTGTTCGAACAATGTACGAGAAGACTTGAGTTTACGTCACGACCCTGTAATCTATTGCAATGAACAACAACTGATAGAAAGAGACTCTTAATAGTTAGAATATATGTTATATAAAATGTAGAAATAATTTATAAAGTGGAAGTTAGGGATTGATAATACGAATTAAACAAATAATTAAGGCTGAACTCCCTTGAAATGGAGAATAGCATTTGTCAAACTGAAAGAGTAACATGAAAAGAATTGTTTGTTTGTTTGTAGTTATGCACAAAGCTACACAATGGGCTATCTGTGTTATACGTACAATCATATCTGGTATTGCCATGGATGTTTTCTAAGATTACAATGAAAAGCTTAAACCCCATAATATTTATAAGGGTGAAAGCGAAGCATTGATGAACTTACAAAAAAACATGATTATAGTTATTTTAAAGTCTGACAAAGGTACTGGTTATGTTAGAAAGGTGTTAAATATTCTAAGCGATCAGAGCGAATAGAAATAAAAAACTAATGGAGAACACCCTACGGAGTGATCGCGAATTAAATAAAAAGTATTTGTAATTAACAACAAAGTTACACAATCTGTGCTCTGCCTACCACGGGTATCGAAACCAGGTTTCTAGCGTTGTAAGTCCGCAGACATATCGCTGTGCCACTGGGGGGCAACATGAAAAGAAATATCTGAAAACAATCACGTAAAGAAAGATCTGGAGGAGACTAATCATATGAAATCTTATGTAATAAAAAGTCGCTATTATTTTACAGTTTTGCGTGATCTGTTTACTAGATGGCTAGTGTATATAATAAAACTGTAACATATTATTTATTTATATGAAAGGCCATCAAATGGATGTGACAGAATTATAAATTTAAGTATTCATAGTGACGTTTTGAGCACATCCGTTCTCTCCTAGGGCGGATGTAAACTCTTAATATACTTCACTGTGAAGTCTGATGAATGGCGGATATTTTCAGAGCATCGGTATAAATTATTACTTAAAAAACTTAACCAAATGTAAATCTTTATTATTTCCATTTCGAAGTTAAGCACAAAGCTGCACAATGGGCTGTCTGTCCTCTGCCCACCACGGGTATCGAAAGCCGGTTTCTAGCGTTGGAAGTCCGCAGACATACCGCTTTGCTTAAAGTGTAATATGTATATATACTTTGTTTAAAGTGTAATGTATATATATATATATATTCGATACCCGTGGTGAGCAATGGACAGACAGCCCATTGTGTAGCTTTGTGCTTAACTTCAAACAAACACATAGAAATATATATATCTCCAGAAAACTCAGAAATAACAAATTCAACTCTGAAACTTTTATCTTTAAGTATGTCTTATTATTGTTATTAAATGTTTATTGCAGATGAGTTTTTGAAGTAAATTGTGGGTTTTTGTATTTATAACTCGTGTTAGAAGTTGTTTACAAACGTTTATAAATTGTTTATATATATATATATATATTTAATAGAAATAATTGTTTGAGATTTTTTATTTATTGTATTTTGTCAACTGTATAAAAACGTTTACAATTTCTATATTTAACACCTGCAGTTCAACCAGGGGAATTACATTTTTCCTTTCTTTACAAATTGTTTATTTATTTTGCACAACATGTTTTTTTTTACAGGCCAGAGCGTGGGTGCTGATGAACGGCTTCACTTTGGCTTTTGGTTCCATGTTCAGTAAAACGTGGAGGGTACATGCTATCTTCACAAACATCAAGTTAAATAAAAAAGTAAGTAAATGCTATCTATAAGTACAATATATTTTTAACTAATTACCACTCAGTTAGTATTTTTAAATTCACTGGTATCTTCAGATGATATTTTAAAAAGATAATTCTTTTGCGATCATAATAATTTCAAACCAACCGGTTGGCACTTCAGAATGATCACTTTACAACAGAGTTAAAGACAGGCAATCCCTGATTTCAATGACAAAAATGGAGCCAATGAGAGTGTACACTAGAAGGTTTCTTAGTGAAAAACATCAGAATCTGTGTTTCCTCTTCATCATATGGACAGTATACAATGAATACTTCAGCCGGATCCCTTAATTACTATCAGACATTGCTTTGAATGGGACTTTAAAGGCTTGACTTGACCTCGAACACTATGTATATATCTAAGCTAATGTTAATACATAATTTATCTTTAATTTATCATAATTTATACACATTGTGTATTTATCTCTAAAACCGAAACAAGTGATGTTTTAAGCACAATAATATATATGTATATATATATATATATAATCAAATGTATGATAACAGTCGTGATGATGGTAATAGTTATAACAGTTCTGATGATGGCAACAGTAATAACAGTCTTGATGATGGTAAAAGTAATAACAGTTCTGATGATGGTAACAGTAATAACAGTCCTGATGAAGGTAACAGTAATAACAGTCCTGATGATGGCAACAGTAATAACAGTCCTGATGATGGCAACAGCTATTGCTGAAAGTAGTAAGATCATGCTTGTTACCAATAAACATTTTATTATGTTTGTAAACATCGTTTGTTTCGGTTTTCAGGACAGTATTAATACAAACTAGGCTTAGTAGGTTTGTTTAGTCTCTTTTCCACGCTATATAAAAATCAATAATACGAAGAAAATCTTCAAAAAAGACAACTGCAACTTGATATTCTAATATCGTACAAGCATCCTAGACATCCTGTGATAGTTCTTTGCAACCAACAGAGTCTGTTATTACTTTTGTTTCAACAAAAATGTATCCTTGAGGATGAAACATTGGGTAATACAATGTAAATATATTAATTTTCAGTCACTTATTTAAAGCTGTTTTTTGCGTTTTTTACAAAGTTTGTGAATGTTTTGTATCACGTGCTTTAAAGTCTATAATACTGGGAGTAAATGGAATCTGTAACAAGTAAAGTTTTACTTCTATATGACTTTTGAATTTTGATAATGTTCTAATCTGGAACATGTAAAATCCTGTCGAGGTCATGTGTTTAATTCAACTTTAGGTGTTACTCTATGTAGCCGGTCGAGGGAAGAAACTTATCTACCGTTTCGTAGGGACGTATTAACCAATAGGCATTCAAGACTTGGGACTAGAGTGCAACAATATGAGGGGCACATCTTAGGAAAAAAATTAATAAGTTTCAAAATGAATTTAATTTTGAATTTCGTTTTATAAAAACACAAATTTCCACCTATTTTAGTGCATTTTAATTTGTTGTTGTTCTCGTTTTGATGGATAATTTTCTCATTCGAGAATGAAGAGATACATCAAGGAAGAGGTACATCTAAAATGGCGGACCTAGAGCGCCAGTTAACCTTAATACGCCCCTACCGTTTGGTTCGGTATTTGTATTGTATCCTTGTATCACCTTGTATAATAAGTCGGACTGCTATACGACTATCTCATGGATCAGAGATACTTCAAGATTTTTGTAATACTGTTTGTGATTGGTCAGCTGTGGAAAGAATGTGGATTGTGAGAGTATTATTAACGCTTAGAGTTTCAGCGAGATTAGTTTCTGCTTTGATAGAGCCAAGACATGCTATAATTATAAAGCACTGTATTATAATATAGGTTTTATATGCATATGCACTACCGGCACTTATGTTTAAAATTTTTGAAATTATAATAAATAATTCAAAACAACATTTTATATTTACACAATAAAAACTTTATTGAAGCCGTACGGCTTCCACTTTTAAATATTCCTCTACAAGTACATGTTTCGACGTGATCTACGTCATCCTCAGGAGTAACTTACAATACTATTTTATACTTTCCCCTTGTCGCATTACTTCATTGTTATTTAAATATTTCCTTAGTGTAATTGAAAAAAAATAAAAAAAATTTATAATATATCTCGCCATATATCAATGTATTGAATTGCCGGTCATTCTTCTCTATTTAATACTTGGTTTTGTTTTTTATATTTCATTATTTCCAAAGTTTCTCTAATATTTAATGATTTAAAACTTCGAGGCTGAGCTAAAACTAAAGTTTTTTCCCATAATATTGTATGTTGGGTAGTTTTTACATGTTCGGCTATAGCTGATATTTCTATTTTATTTTCTAACAGCCAAAAGTTTTCTATAAACTGATGTTTCTAAGTTACCTTCTTCCTTCCTAACTAATACGTCTAAGAAATTATTATCTTCAATTTCACACGTGAATTGAATTGCTGGTTCTTTACTATTTAAATAACTAAAAAATTCTTGTAGTTTGCTGTTGCCATGTCGCCACACCACTAATGTGTCATTTACATATCTTATCCAAACTTCTGGCTTAAATTTAGCGTTATTTAAAGCTTCATTTTCAAAACTATTCATATAAAGGTCACATAACAACAGCGACAAGGAGGATCCCATAGATAAACTCTCTTTCTGTTTATAATAATTTTGATTAACTTAGAAAAATGGATTATCTACACACACTCTTTATAATTTCGACTGTTGGTACTCTGTTTTCTGTTAATTTATTCTCAAAACATCTAATCGCGTCATCTAGTGGTGTTTTAGTAAACAACGATATTACATCAAATGATACCAGTAAGTCTTCCTTTTTCTAATTTCAGGTTTTTAATTTTCTCTACAAATTCTATAGAATTTTTGACTGTATATTTGTTCTTATTTCTCAAAAAAGAATACTTACGTGTTATAAATTTTGCTATTTCATAAGATGATGAACCTGTAGTTGATACTATGGGCCTAAAACTGTTATTGTTTTTATGTATTTTTGGTAATACGTAAAATCTTGGTGCAATAAAACTACTTGGTACTAAACATTTTTTCTCTTCAGGAGTTAAAATTAGGCTATTCTTAACACCAGTTTTTACGTTTTCACGATATTTGTTTATTGGGTTATTCTTACGTTTTTCATATGTACTTTCTTTCAATATGTCTTCTACCCCCTTATCATAATCACCTTTGTTAAGTATTACGGTTTGTCCCCTTTAAATAAAAGTATCAGAATTTTTACCCTATCTTCAAACCAATAAATAAGATAAAAGATA